GTAAAGTGGGTGAAGTGCATTTTGTGAGTGTTATGCTTGGGTTTGAATGGGAAACTGAAGACCAGCTCTGTGGGGCTCCCAGGCTTGCTTGCTCCCATTTCTGGGGTTCTGAATGTGTTCCAGCAGCTGCAACAACTGCGTGGTGCTGTCAGGCTCCATCGGGACAAGCCCAGCCAAGGGGAAGTTTCCAAAGCTGTGCAGAGGAGGGCAGTGAATTCCCACATAGCTTTCAGGCTGTTTTGGCTCAAAACGTGACTCAGAGGTGGCACATAAAGAGACAGCACTGCTTATAACCCCGTAGGTGCACTGCTGGCATTTCAACACTGGGTCAGTGCTAAGTGCGTATATTGGATGTCGCAGACGTTTTGTCTTGGTTTAGAGAAACCTGAAAGAATTGCACTCTGAGAAGTGGGGAATATAGGAAGAGCTCATTCTGTGCAATGCATGGCAGTGTTCCTTACTGGCAAGGCTCTGCTCTGTCTTGCACCAGGAGAGACCCCCACTGCCGTGCTGGAGCTCCGTGCTCTGCTCATGTGAGCCCTTCAGGTATCACTGTGCCTCCATCCCAAATCATAGAATCATAGAATCACAGAATGGCCTGGGTTGAAAGGGACCACAATGATCACCAAGTTTCAACACCCCTGCTATGTTCAGGGTTGCCAATCACCAGACCAGGCTGCCCAGAGCCACAAAAAATGGGATATCTGATTTTCTGTAATCAGCAGTAATTCAAAGTATACAGTATTGTTCCACTGCAGTCAAAACTACAACAAACTGCAATGAAACCCATCTCTGGAGGAGTGCTACAGCACTGCTGGTGATCGCTGTGAGCAGTGCCATTGATGGCAGTGGTGCACTAAGGACTGGAGCTGGAGTTTTACTGCTGGCATCACTATTTAAAGGAAAGGGCCCTGTTTGATTTTCCTGAGAAAAGAGCTGGTTTTTTTTTAATTATTGGTTTTGAACTTTGGAAAGCTCTGCAGCTCTGTATGGAAATGGCAATCAGCTTGGGTTGGCATGGATCAGGTATCCTGCACTTGCAAGGGCTGGAAAGCAAAAGCAGGCAGAAACCAATGTAAGTTCCATCACCAGCTGGGGATGCCCTGACCCGGGCTGTGGGATCTTTGCTCTCTGAAGTTATAACAGATACACTGCTGGCTTCAAACACCTTTTGTCCAAAGATGACGAAGTTCTCCAGACAGCTGTCTGTCTCTCTAATGGATGTGTGCACTGTGAATTTGAGTCAGCAGGCAGTTCGGTGACTTGGCATCATCTGCTTGGTCAGCAGCAAAGGTCTCAGGGTTCAAAGCTCCTCAGCTCCCTGGATGGCTGCAGGCAACACTGAGAACCTCAGCGGTGAAGACGTATGAAACCAAAGGAATTTCCAGTCTCATCTCTAAACTTGGGCACAGCTTGCATTATCAAATACTGGTCATCTCTGCAGAGGCGTTTGATACATTGCACTTTGCAGCATCAGATGTGTCTCTGTCCTGACAACATGCAAATATCTAACCAGCAGGAACTGCTCCAGTGCACGTACATTCCACACATGGCACAAAAGCAGATCTTACCCCAGTATTGCACTGTGCATTGGGCAATGCTGGGGTGATGCGTGGGAGGAATGAGTTAAGCTGATAGAGGAGATGCTGCAGCCTGCAGGGCTGGGCAGCCACTGTGGGTTCTGCAGCCAGGACTGCACAGGGTATGCACATCCCGAGCCTGGCTGGTGATGGATGAGGCCACTGGGAGCAGCCTGTAGAGCAGGGGTCCCCTCTACTCTCTGGGTTTGGGGGCTACAAATACTCTGCACCCCTGGGAAAAGGCAGAGCCACCAGTAAGTGTACCTCTGAGTGCTCCTGATGGTTCCCGTTTCCAAAAAGAGCCTTACAAGTACCGTTTCCTTCCCGTGAATGTTTGCAAAATTGAACCAAATGATCCCCAGTGCTGCTGGAGTATGGTTGTATTTCTTGATGCAAATCAAAGACTGCAAATAATTTTTGGCAGTCTTGCCCTGGCTTATAGCAGTAAAGTAACCACAGAATGTAGGTGAATTTGATGACAACTTTATAAAAACAACCAAATGTAGGCAGATCCAGCATGTATAACTCATGTTATGCCTTCACTACAAAAGGAGAGGTGTCTTTACGTGGGGAAGATTAGCTGGAGATACCCACATTGGAGGGTTGTGATAAGATAGCATTACCTGACTGTGACTGGCTGGGTTTGTCCTGACCAGGTGTATCTAGGTGAATCTGGTGAATCTGTAATTCTTTGTCTAGACAATGACCTCACAACAAAAGAATGAACTTTAATAAGCTGTTTTGATGGAAAGAAATCTTCTGAGCAACGGAGACAAAGCCAGAGCACTTATGAGCAACCCTATAATAACAAACCTGTGTGTAAATAAATGGAGCTGATAGGGGAGGTGACGGCAGAAGCGAGAGGATTTCATTTCAAAGCACCAAGCAGCTATTGCAGATAACGGGGTCAGAGGCAAAATCTCCCCCTCCTGACCCGGAGTTCACTTAGAGAAGAGGACAGGGTGCATGTCTGTGTGCCAGCCCTGCTCACCGTGTCCCTGAGAAGTGCCATGTGGGGCAATGAAGGAGGATATGGAAGCCATGTGGCCATGCCTTTACAGAGCCATCAGGGGCTACCTGGAGAAAGGGGAGCCTTCCTTTCCCAGCTGTCTGCTGCTGAGCCCCAGGGGTTATCTGTCCATGGCACCAAAGCCCTGACTGCTTTATGTGATGCTCAGCATTACACAGAGGCAGGATGCATAATCCAGCCTTCACAGCCCAGCTGAAAACCACCTCTGCTGAGTGTGAATAGCACCTAGCAAAGAAAACCAGTCCTCCAGGAACATCAGTTCCCTTTTCCTTTGTGAAAGAAAGCATCAAACATTAGAAGTTCCATACAGTTTCAGCTCTTCATTTTCCACCATAATGAGGTTCAAGCTGATAACATCAGTCTTATTTGGATGAAATACAAGAAGTGCTTGATAGCATCTCAGTGAGACTGATAACATACGATATCGGTGTTCCAGAACTGACCTTCCCTGCGTGCACACTTAACTTTATAGAGACAGATCAAGTCGCAGCCTCTGGTCAGAACATCTTGGCCAGAACACGGTGCTGTAGGTCTCTGCAGGTGGGTGTTTTCTGGCAGAGTTGTTCAGCTGCCTGTGAGCATCCTGTGCAAAGCACCCCTGCACTGGGAGGCTCAGAGCAGTGCTCAGGGTGAGGGGTAAAGCCTGGGGAGCTGTGTGCTCTCTGAGGACAGCTGCCAAGAAAATGCAAAGAATAAGCAAATCTAAGAAGCAAACATCCCGTGTGATTAGCATTGCTTTGCATATGGATGAGAAACTACACTGAGGCCATTCTGCTCTGGAAATGGCTTTCTGTGTTGTTTTTCATGCTGCTGCTCTGGAGGAGCCCAGTCTGGAAGTGGCAATTCACAGAACATCTCCTGTCTGCCTGAGTGGCTTTTGCTTCAAGGGGTTTCCATTGGATTAAAAGGGCTTTGGAGGATCCTGAGGTCACTGCCCTGCAAAGGGGCAGCAGTGAGGGCAGAAAGGAAGAGAGAAGACCCAGAGACACCCCGATTTTGGGCACGCTCCCAGGGGATGTCCTTGGAAAATGAATGGAAGGGCTCAAGGTTTCCCATTTATTTCTGAATCACTATAAAGCTCTCGTGCCAAAAGCTGCACATGGGATATCCACTGGGGGGACCTTCTGCTCCTCTTCAAAGAGATCATTAAATACATTTCAGCTTTTGTGTAGGCTGTTGTGCGGACTCAGATCATTCATCAAAGATGACTTTTGATCAAACTCCCCTTGGGAGGAACCTCTCAGTTGCAGGCTTGAACCAGGGAGGGACAAAAGAAAGACAAGCTGAGAGAGTAATAACACACTTTAGGCACTGTCCTTCATTAATATCTTCAATAAACAAACATGTACATCTGAATATTACTTTCTCTTACACACCCACTGTTATCACTTAACTATATTCCACATGAAAGCACACTTGTCATAAGCCATTTCAACTCCCATCCCAAGTTAATATATTAGCACTCATTTCATTTGCATTTTAATGGTGAGACTACACTTTTCAAATAAATGACTGCACTTTATCAAAGGATTACTTCATTTTGACTGTAATGCCTCTCTGCCATGTGGGAATCAGGGAGTGAGGAGGTTGAAACAAGCCCTGCTAAGCAGACCTGCTGGCTTCAAAAACAGCAGTCCCAATCTTTACAATTCCATCTTTGGAAGGAGAAAAATAGTAGCATAGAAACATGCTGGCTGCTTCCCTTTGTACTGAAGGGAGATGCTGATTATGTAATTTCAGTCCATCATTTTGTTACATGCATGGGCTCCTCTTCTCCAGGGAGCATCGTTAAGGATTACCGATGGCCTGAAATGAACCCCCAGATAGCAGCCCCTGGAGTTTCCATCCCTCCACGCTTTGAATCTGCACTGTGTGATAGGCCCTGTTCTCCTGCAGACCAGAGCAGCCTCCTATGGAGCTGGGTGGAATCCAGCATCCCTCACTCAGAAGAGGGAGCAATATGTTGGCCACAGTATTCAGCTGGCAGCTTACAGGGGCTAAAAACCCAGGATCTGTAGATCCAAAGTCTATCGTTTACGCTAGAGGTAGAAAGATTCACAAGGCTGCATGTGGCATGCTAAATCTTCACAGAGCAAAGCAAGCGAAAACAAGAATGGAAAATGCATTCTTCACAGCAAGCAGCTCCATAATGCTGCCCGTCCTGCCTGGAGCAGCACTGACTTCTCACCTTCCTGAGGGATCCAAGCAGAAAGCACTCAGAAGCTTCAGGAATTGACTCCTGGCTTGTCCTGGCAGGACACATCTCCTGGTCACATCATAGGGACTGCAGACCCTTTCACAGAACCTGCTTGGCTCCACCAGGTGCAGGGGCCGGGAGGAGATAAAGGAGGAAGCAGCAGCTGTTGGAAGGGCTTGGGGAATGGAGGAAGGTGTGCTGTGGCAGCTCTGTGGGAAAGCTGCTCAGAGTGCCTGTGGGTGGCTCTGGCAGAGGGCTGAGCATCTCCGGAGGTAGGACATGGTGGAGGCTTGCTTGAAGATGAGAAGAGGAACACGTGAGATGAGAGGCAGTGTGCTCTAAAGGGTTTTTCTGGCTGGTTATTTCGTGTGGAAGTCCTTCTGCCTTCGTGTGAGTGTTTGGAGGTGCTGCTCTCCTGATAAGCTGAACACCTGGCTGGCTGAGAGCTCCTTACAGGGAATTGTGGTATGGAGTTATTGCATAGGCTTAGTGCTCACCGTATAACGAAAGGTTGTGTAAGGAGAGTTCTCCAGCAGAAAGAAAAAAAAACCACCACCAGATTTTAAATTCATTCCTCTCTTATGGTTTTTAAGTCCTTTAATTAGCTCCTCTTGGTTACAGAAGTGCTGTGGTTCATAATGCCCCAGTGGCTTTGTAGGCAATCGAATAGTCCTTAAACATCAGTAAGTTTTATTTTAAAACTTAAGTCAGTGTTTAGCTTGAATTGGTATAAAAGTGAGCTGTCAGCTTCCATTTGTCAATGGGAATACTGTTGTGGCAAATGCTATTAAAAAAGGCATGTGAATTAAATTCTGCATTAAATGGAGTTAGGGTAATATACTGATCTAGAGACATTATTTTCAGTCTGGGCAGCGATAATGAAGGATGCTGGGAAGTTCTAATGCAAGAAGTGTTAGTAGGGATAATAGAATTCTCTAGTAGATCTATTTTTATCCTGTTATAAATTAGCATGTTATACTGACAAACGGAACCATGGGATGTCATGGAAAAACATCCCCGCTGCTTGTTTACAGCAGGGAAAAACCTGAGGGTCTTCCAAACTGGTTATTAATTAGAAATGTTTTATTTCATCAGGGATTTACATACTGTCAAAGCTTCTCAAGCCTTGGAAATGAGAAACTGTGGATGGCAGCAGTGGATTCTTCTGGAAGTCCTGCAGGGTTGGCTGCATGCTCCCTGGCTGGCAGAGGTGAGCAGCTTTCCTCCTTGCTATGGTTGCACCCTGTGTGCTGAAGATGCTGTGTGTTGGTGGCCAATGTGTTGTGATAAGAGTGAGCTGTGAGAAGAAACTGTGGATACTGAGGAGCAGATGCTCAGGGCTTTTGATGTTTCTAGCCTGGTGCTGGGGATTGGTTCTCACTAGCATTTGAGATGCGTGAGATAGAATCATAGAGTCGTTAAGGATGGAAAAGATGTCCAAGATTAATTAGTTCAACCATCCACCTACCACCACTACTGCCCATTAAGACATGACCTTAAATACCACATCTCCACCATTCTTGGACGCCTCCAGGGACGGTGACTGCACCACCTCCCTGGGCAGCCTGGTTTAATACATCACCACTCCTTCTGAGAAGAAATTATTCTTAATATCCAAACCTGGACCTGCCCTGGTGAAACTTGAGGCCATCACTTCTCACCCTATCGCTGTTACCTGGGAGCAGAGACCAACACCTGCCTCGCCACATCCTGTCAGAGAGCTGTAGAGAGAAATAAGGTCACCTCTGAGCCTCCTCTTCTCCAGACTGACCCATCCCACTTCCCTCAGCTGCTGCCTGTAAGACTTGTGTTCCCTATATGCATCTTCTGCTTGGGATCCTGTCTTTATGGGGTGCCTCCATTTCCAGGATGTGTCTCCAATCTTTATCTGAGCATATGTCCCTTCTGTGCTGAGGATGAGATGAGGACAGACCTGTCCTGGTGCAACAGGCTGGCTGTGCTGCCACTGGAAAGAGTGGCTGATAAACTGTTGATGGATTGCCATGAGAGCTCTGCACATAGCAATAGGCTTTGCTGGCAGGTCTGCTGAAAACTAGGCTTCCCTGAAGAGTGAAGGCAGGTGGGATGGAGCCCATAGGAAAACAGGGAGATGACAGTGGGTCACTGTCCTGCTGCCAACTCCAGGTAAGGTAGGAGAAGACCTGATGGAAACAGTTGGGTTTCTCCTACTTCTGCTGGTGGTGAGGAGCCTCTCGGTTAACTGTGGGACATCAGTACCCTGGAGGTGATCTCTGCACTGCTGGTAGCCTGGTGCTGGCCAGCCTCCAGCTAACATCACGGACTTAACCTGTTACTCATCAGCATTTTAATTGTTACAGTTCTTACCACATGCCTCAACTATTTCATAAACGCTGTCTCTAAATCCCTTGAACATGTTTAAAATAATTCCTCAGGCATGCATGGACAAGGCTGCCCGCATTCCTCCTCCTCCTACATAATGCTGCTGAAGCCTGGGATGGCTACGACTGAATGTATTTATACCACAAAATCTCTTCTGCGTTGCCTGGGATTTGAGTCATGTAATTCATGTGAGCTTCCCAAAAGGCTGAAGCACCCAGCAGGGCTTAGCGGCCGCTCCTGGGGTTTGCAGCAGAAGGCTTTTCGCAATGTGCTGCACCTACACATGTATCTCAAAGTAGTGGCAGGCAGAAATAGCTCTTGGACTATGACTTGAGAAAAATCCCTTTGATGTGACGCTTTGCACGTATTCAGGAACCTGCTACTCTCTTACTTGGGACTGTGGCAGATGCTGATGCGTTCCCTCCTCTGCCCTGCTTGATTGATGAAGGCTACAGCTCCCCAGGGGCTCCCAGCATGGTCCTGGTGCTCAGGGCTCGGTCCTGCTTTGTTCAGCTGGTGACTTCACATGGCGACAGATGGCCTTTGTGCTCTGACCCTCTTCCTTCTCTGACCAGTGGCTTCTAAGTGCCATTCATCTTCCTCTGGGCTTGACAGTAGAGAGTAAACAGACGCACCCCAGAGAGGAGATTTTTCCCCATCTTGTTTTGGGATGTTTTGGAAAAAACGAGCATCCTGTGATACCAAAATCAGCAAGTCTTGGCTCCAAGATCCCACGAGCATCATAGCAGACATACTTTCAGCTGTATTCCACCTCCACTGCCCTTGGCATCTGTCACTTTTGGTAGCCAGGGCAAGAGGGGCTGCACCTCTGAGGTAGTTTATCGTTTTCCCTGAGGAGAAGCCTGGGGTCAGGGCATGTCCCGCCAACATGGGAGAAATTCCAGCTGAGCCTACCTGTGGCATCATGCTGAACTAGAGTGGCAAATGATGGTATTTAGGTCCCAAGGAAGCTTGTTGCTCTCTGTGGGTGTTTTCTGGTTGTGTGTGGTTTAAGGGAGAACTCAAGGGACCAGTAACGAGGCAGCAAGGCACAACATGTGCTGAAGGACAAAATAAGGGAGATTATAGCTCTTAGCTGTGCTATAACATGTCCATCAGCTGGTCTTGGGAAAATGGCAGTGTGCCCCATTCAGATGTAGAGCTGTGTTGTAGACAGGAAATGTCTTCCTGCAAACAGTGCAGGAAACTATGACAGATGAAGAAGTTCAATTTAGTGTGGATTGAAGAGAATTGAGCAAATTGATCTTAGCTAGGGCTCATAGAGTGGTGTCTTCAGTTAGCTGTGTACAAGGCCAGGTGCCTGCAGGTAGCAGACTTACTGCAACCCTAAGTGAGGGCATCTGCTATCTGCAGGGCAGCATCTGTATCATGTAACTCTTTGCTCTCCTGTTTGCTGGCATATATAAAATCAGGAGCTTTTATTTTTTTAAATGGCTGGATCCCAGATTTGCATGTCAAAGGAACTGTCTAAGTGGAGCTTAAAGAGCTTTCAAGAGGGCATCTGGTCCAGCCCACAACACATACATGATCAGCTCCATCTCTATCAGACTAAGAGACTTTTGTGTCATTTATTCTTTCTGAGTTTCAGTGGTGGGAGCTTCAAGGTTCCTTTGGGAGCTGTGCAGCTGAGCATTCTGTCTTCCTCTCCTGGGTCCAGGGCAGTGATCCCCAATGGGTGGGAAGCTGTGCTGTGGTTGGGGAGCTCTGTGGGGCTGAGGCTGCCCCTTGTGTCCCCCATGTGTGCCAACAGTGCTAATTTCTTGTAGAAGGGGCTGGAGAACAGCCCTGCCCTCCTAGGAGAACCTGCACCTGTACTGGGCATAGGAGCTGTGATAAGCGCCTTCAGTGCTGTGCAAGTGGGAAAGGGGGGACTTCCCCTCTGTGAATAATTAGTTTTCCATGTCTGCAGCTCCAAAAGGTGGAGGGAGCATCCTCATCCCAAGAGCAAGTCCCAGGGCAGAATGCTGGTTGTAGGGTGTGCTGACGAGGCAGTTTGTAATGCAACGTATTCAGAGTAACATGTATTACATAGGATGAATATTTTTAACAAAGCCATCACCTGATGCAAAACTGAATGCCTTGGAGAGATACAGGTGCATTCTCTTGGCAGAACTGGCTTATCCAGTGAGCCCATAATCATGCCAAAAACTAAAGACAGCCTTGATTTGACACCTCCACCAAAAGCGGGGTTTGCAGTGGCTTGCACTTGGTTGCACGTTAGCCTGTAAGTTCCTGGTAGTTTTTAATGTGCTTTTCTACTGTGCTGGCATCACTGCTAATTGTGCTGTAGTTCTGCAGGTCACTCATTTTGCCCTTCTAAACGTTGGAATTAAGATGCTGCAATTGAATCCCTTAGGACTTCTTGAAGACTTGGGAAACAGAAAATAAAATTTAAGCCCAGAGGTCCTCATCTGTTGGGGTTTTTTTGGGGAGGACTCTGGGGGATCACTGCACAGATTTGATAGGGTTTGGTGTTGTGGTCTCTCCTTACCCTCTGTTACACAGCAACTAAAGCTAGATCACCCTAACCGTGCTCCTGCCTGGCCGTGAAGTTTGTGACTCCATCCATGACCGTGCTGTGGGAAAGAGAATGCAAAATGATGAGTGATTGCACCCAACTGTCGATAAAATGATAGCAAAAAAGCCATCATAGTTTCCCAGCCACTGAAATTCAGGTTACAAATGATAAAGCAAGGCCGATGCCATGAACCTATTTCAAGCAAGGCCTTACTCCTAATGCAGGCTGAATTTAAGAAATTGTACCGTACGATCGCTCCATTTCCATAGCAAAAGGGCTTACACTGAACGCGTTGCCTTATGGGGGACTCCTTGCATCCTTAACGCCTTGCTATTTGATAGTTTTGTGCTTTGCAGGACCCTGGAGATGAGAGAACCAATATTGCTGCGAAGGTTATTCCTAGCACAGGAGCAGTTAAGAATCTGTCTGCACACAAATGACGAATTATTGTAATCTGAACAAAGAATGGGGCAGTAAAGATCACACCGGTTGGAAACTTTAAAGGGACTAGAGGCAGAAAGATGAAAAGATGAATGAAAAAAGATTCTTAATGCTTACAAATGCAGAAATGTGGCTAATGGGTACGAATGACAAACACTTAAGAAGCGGACTTGAATAACAGTTGCTAAGATTCTCTGGCTTGTTGCAGCACTGCTGGGGTGTGCTTAGGGCAGCATTTGGATCCTGAAATAGTGCCTGATGCTCCTTCTGCTGTGAAATCAGAAGGAAAACATTCCTGTGTGGTGCGTTTCTAATGTTTTCCTAATGCCATTTTATCAGCCTGGCTTCCAGCTTAAAGTATCACTTGAGTGCATGGTGGGGCAGAACGCTGCTGCAGGAATTGGGTTTGTTGGATCGTGAGAGCACAGTGCTCCTTTCTGTCCTTGAAACCTCCCCGTGTCATTCTGCACCCATGTCCTGAGGATGGCAGGATTTCACCTGAGCAATCTTTGAGCCAGGTAGCACAGTTTCAGGACAGGCGATGGTCTGACATCTCACACCACACCCAGAGAACTCCCACCTGATGAAGCAGCCAGACAGGAGCAGGTATACCTGCTAGCAGAGCTTGGGGAGCACCCAAAGTATTCTGGTGGAAAGGTTTTGGCTGAGGAAATTCGGGCCCAGCTTCCAAAGTTTGCTTTGTTTTGGTGTGAAACATGGATTTGTGTTACAGTTGCAGTAGGCTTGCTTGGTGCTTTGCCCACTATTAATCAAACCTTGCAGAGGCCGGCCTTGGTGCAAGCTTGGCAGCAGGACCTGTGCCTGGGCATGTTTACCTTGGCTTTGCATTTCATCGTGGACCTCTATTTGTGGGCAGTAAATCAAATGCATGATAAGTTTACAGAGGATCTGGACTGCGTCTAATAGATGCCATTACACTGCTTGTTCAAAGCTGTGTGTGTGACAAGGTCAGCTCATAAAAATAGCATAAATTTCATATTTTCTTGACTCCCACAGAGGACTGCGGGAGGGAGAGACGTAGGGATTGCTGCAGTGCGTGGAGCATAGTGATCTCTGCAGTTCATCCATAATCCATCAGAAATCTGTCATCTTTCCAAAGTTACTGTTTTATAAGCTGCAAACTTAACGGTCACCTCTGTCCTGATGGTACAGCACACTCCACATCCCCTTAATGGGAGTTCTGGGCCCTGGTGTTGCTCAGTGGCTCAGAGCCACTGCTGGGCAGAGGTGCAGCACCTCCTGCTTTGGGCACCTTGTGGCTTTGAGCTGGTGCTCGTTAGGGGCTGCTGGGGGGAAGGAATGGACCCTTGCTTCCTTCTGTCCAAACCTCAGCTTACTGAACCACAACCCACTATTGATTTCCCAGTGATGCCCTGTTTGTTCCTCCAGATGTAACCTAGAGCTGGGTTATGTTAAACCACAAGCGAATCTCTAGTTGGCTTCTGCAGCACCTGGCTCAGGTTTGGGTGGGTTTGGTATACCCATCTTTCAGCACGTGCTGCTTGGCTGCACTACCTTCCCCAGTAATATCATCCCAAGGACTGGACACTCTTGATGCAAAAATAACCTGCAGTCAGTTGCTCTGTCCCACTTCCATAATACTGTTTCTCCTGTTTTCTCCTCCTGCTGCTACTGCCACTTGTTAAAAACCTGCGATTGTTTTTCTGCCAGCAGCTCTGGCTGTCTGCTGACACCTCAAAATATAGAGAAAACCTTTGCTATCAGCTCCTGGAGACAGACTTCTGAGGCAACACGCCAAGCACATGTTTCTGGTGATGCAATGGTCAGTGATAGTGCTGCTGAGCAGTGGTTACAGTGATGATAGAAGAGACAAGCAATTTTTACAGCACCTGACATACTCCAGTGCTGTTCAAGTGTGGCTGCAGAAATCCCCATGTCTGTTTCTTGCACTGACAGTAATGGAGTCCTAACACTGTTGCTCTTTTAACAACAGAGCAGAAAAATGTGCATATCGTTTTTCCTACAAGTTCTGGCTTAAGAGAAGGATGTGGAGATGCAATAAAGATAGGAGCCAGCTACCCATCTTTGGGAAATGACATCTGTATCCACTGCAAAATCCTTCTGTTCTGGAAGCAGCCTGGCTGCTGCCTTGGTTTCCGTTTGCCACACGTCCTGCAATCCAGAGCAGGTCTGAAGATCTGCAGTTCAATGTGAGACACAGAAAAGAGCTGTGCTTTTGCTATTCCAGCCACAGTGAATAATCAGCAGAGCTTCCTGATGAAGTATTGGAACTGCTGAGTACAGCAAACAGAGGTTCACCCCCCTTCTCAGGACAGTGCAGCTCCTGAGGTCCCACAGGGCCCATAATGTGGCTGGTGGTGTTCAGATGATACCAGCATTTCTCACATAGTATGGAGAAGTTCTGGGCTCTTTAGAAGATCAAGGACATACTTCGTTGTCCATTGCAGCAGTAAGCCAGCCAACAGACACTTTGCCTTGACATGGCAATGTTTAAGGGGGGGGACTATGTCTGCCAAGTGCTAAGTTGTCTTCCTGTTTTAGATAAGTACAATAAATAAAACTCTTCTTGATCTCTACTGTCATATGCTAATTTTCTTGCCCTTTAATCAGGCAGGTTTTATTCTGGCACTTGACTGGGGCTTTGGGTTGTAATTCAGAATGGGGAAAAAAAAAAAGACAAGAATTGTGTAAGACATGGAGGCTGATGTTAAACAGGCACAGAGTGCTTGGAGAGTGATTAGTGCCTTTCTGTTGTGATATTGAAGTGGTCCTCCAGTGATAAATCAAGCCTGGTGCTCAGACTGCCAATATCCATTTGGGGCAATTTGCTCTCAGTTTACAGCTCTGTGGTGGTTCCTTTCTGCTAGGATTCCTTTTAGGATGAGAGGAACTGTCACCTGGGTCGGGCTGTCTTTTTGGGACAAGAGGAACACAGTGAGTACATTTGCTGGAGCTGTTTGTGCAGAGCTGTTGGAGGTCCCCTGCTTCTAGGTGTCCTTGAGTTAAGCATACCAAGGCTTACAGTCTGGGTTAGAAGACCAGCTATGAAATCAAATGCATTCTAATACGTTGACTGCCACTGTTTATCTGTTTAGATTTTATGTTGAGGGATATGATTTACTGAGAACCATTGGTGACAGGTGGATGGTTGGACTGGATGATTTTGTAGATCTTTTCCAACCTTGGTGTTTCTGTGGTTCTGTCCTCATGGATACCCTTGGTAGAGGATCAGATTGATGCTAACTGAGGGAACCTCTATTCATCCAGCACTCAGCACTGGGGGGTGCAATAGGCAGCCCTGTTAGCAGACAGTGGATGCAAAGTACCAAACCAGAGAGGATGCGTTGATGCTGGCGTGTGACAGAGCTGCTGATCTGCAGCAGATGGAGGTATCTGTGGGACTGAATCACCAGGAGGGCACCAGGTCCTGCTGCACTGCCACATCTGAAGCATCCCAACAGCTATCCGTTGTGGTGGTGTGGATGGGGCTTGATGTAGGTGAGTTAATCTCCCTATTCACAGCAATGCACAGCTGCCAGTGCACTGAAGACACACCACTACATCTCAAAACGATTCTTACGAAAGGAGAAACAGAGAGGAGAAGCTGTCAGACCCATTTCAGTGCGTGGCTGCTGTGGGGCGAGCAGAGGGAACATCTCGAAGGCTTCAAGGAATGGGGGAGAGCAGAGATCCATTGCCATAGCCACTCATCCCAGCTATGTTTGGCACTCTTGAGAAATGCCTGTGTACACACCTTCAATACTTCCAGGCACATCGAACAAATGCGTTCAAATAACTCCTCTGATTAAAAGTGTCATTACTCCAGGTTAGGTCTGCAAACGCATGTACGCCGTGCTGGGGTGAAAGGAGGGGCAGATTCCTCACATTTAAACCTGCCCTGAGTTCAGTGAGAGATATAAATAGCTCTCCAAATACTTGAGCAATTCGCGTTCTGCTTTCTGAAGGCAAAAAGGGCCTCTTAGGTAATGGAAACAGTGGTGATTAGTAAGGGCTGAGGATAAAAAGAGGATATGAAAGGAGCAGAGGAATCCTTTGATATAGCACTCACTGTTCCTGAGGCACTTTCTTCTCCTTGTCTTGACTTTAAATTTCCCCTGTAGTATGTCACTGAGTCCACCTCCTAAATTTATACTCCAAAGCTCTTTTGCTTTGCTGTTCTATGTGGAAATGTACTTCCATCCTGAGCTGTGCTGGGCATATCCTGGGGAAAATGCTCTTATAGAAAAAGAAAAATCGATCTAAGAATATCGATTTGAATCTATATAGAAATAATTTGGGCTAGATTTGGGCCCTCGCTGCATTCATCTAGGGAATGATACACAGACAAAGCAATTCATTTCTTCTAAATTTAGTTGCCAAAAATGAGGCATTTAGTGTAAGCCAGTTGGTGAGGCTGTATGTCTCCCTAATGTATTTCGTGCAGCAACCCCAACCTATGCTCACAGTGCCCTTGGCAGAGAGCTGCTTCATCCCACAGGCAGGTGGATTTTCCAGGTAGCTGTGTTGCTGTGGTTGTAGGCCATGCGCGGGGAGATGCATCTGAGTAGGGCAGGAGTGTACCAGTGCTTAACAGCCACCCCGAGTTACTCCATGGAGAGATAGGGTGAGACCTGGAGCTGGCAGATACATCAGAGCTGAACCTATGGGCATGAGCTACAGGACAGCACAGAGATATTTGGCCAGAAGCAGGGGATCAGCTGCAGGGGCTCACCAGGGCTCTGCCTGCTCCCCCAGTCCTGTTCCTGTACAACAGCTGAGGATTCAGCTCATTGTCTTTGAAGCACCCAGCAGTGAAAAATAAGTAGAAAATAGAGCTCTTGGCAACACCTGTAGCAAGCAACAGGTATGTTCCTGAAGTTACTTAGCAGGGTAATTAGCACAGGAGAGGCCTGCCAGACTTAATTTATTTTTAAAAGCCCCATCAAATTTAATTTGTGAGTGCAGTTCTTCCATCTGCTTTCGGGCATTATCTCTGGAGTTCAGGAGAAAAACATATGTCTTGTGGTTAATAAGAATTTGTTTTAATGGGCGATATGACGGGGTGATTAATAACTGCTCGCCTCTGATTGTTCTCGTTATAATGATCGCATGCAACCCCCCTGCCCAGCCCCAACCTCTCCTTGTGAAAGAAGGATCGTAAATTGGGAGATGAAAAATCCCTCTGGTTGAGATGAAAGTGAGTGCATCAAGGGCTGGCTGCACCGAGCTGATGGGGAAAGCGGCTTCCTACGGCTCTTACTATTTCTCTTTTGGGGTTATGTATCAGATCAACCATGCACGGAGCAGAGCACTCTGTGTGTAGCTGTGCAATGCGATCTCACATCTGCCTGCCAAGGGCTCTGCGTTGGCATTCAGGAGGTGAAATGCACTTTTTGGAGGCTGCGTGTCGCCTTGGGCACGTCCCTTACAGAGATGGGATCCACGCAGAGATGTTCTCTCACCTCACCATGCTTTCCACCTTCCTGGCTTCCTCTGTGCTTTGGCTTTGGATCACTTCTTCCCCCAAATGAAGCTTGATGCCTGGGGAGCTGTGGGAGACCTGCACCACTTTTCCACCAGTACAAACAAGACGGCAACTTGGCCCTTCTGTTTAATGACCAACCGGTGTTTTCATTTAACACAAAACCCAAATCCAAGCGATTCGTTATATTTGCTTTCATGATATGCTGGCTGGGCATTAGAAATGTTGGGATCTTTGTTGTTTGGCAGGGGTTCAAACCAGTTATTTAAGAGGAAATTCCACTTAGTAAAAGAGTCCCGTGATTAGGTTATCATCATCTCAGCTTCTCTTTTTCTTTTTTTTCCCCCGTCCGCAATAAGAGCTTGAAAGAAACAGAAATTTATTGGGCTGTTTCTAAAGGCACGAGCTGCAATGTGCTCCCAGGCAGGAAATAAAGAGCCTCATTGCTGCACATTCCCTGGGGGGGGATGGCGGGCGGTCAGGCGTGTGTTCCCTGGAGCCACACAGCAATGCAAACCGGAACAGCCAACCGGTGCCACTGGGGCTTTGAATTGCTTTGCCAGAGTTAACCTGGTGTTAACCTTGGGGGCAGGAGGTCAGGGAAAGTTTGCAGCCTCAGACAAGGGGGAGAGGAGCTCTGCTTGTCTGAGGTGCGTGGTGCTCGGTGCCTGTGCAGTACTAAGAGGAATGATTCCCAAGTAAATCTTCCATTTCAGCCAGTCTGTTTGCAAAAGGGGAAAGTGAGCGGTGCCTAAAAATGTGGAACAAAAGTAAGGTCTACCCAAAAACAGAGAGGAAAAAAGGGAATTATTTCAGAGCCTCTTGCTCTCCATGTGCAATGCCCAGGTGCTGCTGTTAGCACACAAGTGTTGCTCTGTCCATGTCCTGCTCATCTCAGCCTTGCTTTGTGTGGCTGGGACCTGGAAGGAGGTGTGCATGGTGGCCTTTCTGGGCACCAAATGAACTCTGATAACTTCCCTCTAAGATGCTTCAAGTTGTCATCTGCCCTGGTAGCTCCCTTCTGCACTGAGCCATGGGAGAGTGTGGACACCAGAAATGCAGTGTAAAAGCTCAGATGTGGGCATGAAGCCTTTGTACTGCAACATAAAAGTAGCACAGTAACACTAATTGCACAGTTGCACCCATAGAAACATAAAGAGGGAAAATCAGAGTGCACGCAGCAAGTACTTCATTGGAGGCTGCGTTCTTTCCATAAGGGACAGACAGATGGGGCCAATTTGATCAAACCAGGAAGCTCCGTGCCAAGCTGCAGTCATTCATCTGCTCTGAAGTATTAGGTAGCATATGGCAATGAGGCCTTTCTGATGTCTTCCTGCAGCGGCAGGATGATGACAGCATCTCTGTGGTGACAGAGATGCAATGAATCAGGGCATGCATTGGGGATGGGAGAGGCAGTGGCTGGAGGTGGCCCACGGCTCGTGTTGGGAGATAGGCAGGAGGATGCAGGGAACAAGGGGGGATTGTGGTTTCTACAGAACAGGCTTTTATAGAAGAAATACGTTCTGAAGTGCTGCTGTACAAAGGTCTATGGAGCACGGTGATGGTTTGGAAGCTGCCTTGGGCTTCATTTCCATTTGGTTGGTTTTTTGGAATGGTACCTTTTGCCCTAAACTCTTAGCATGCATGGTGATGGCATTTATTGTTTAATATTCTCGTTTTATTACTGTTCTTGTGGGCAAAGGTGGGCTTTGTGTGCTGAAATTCAGGTGTTTATTTGGGAGACTCCCACCAGGAGCTCTGGTTTTAGCAGCCATCCCCATAGCACAGCTCTTCTCACCTGGCTGTAGGTGAATCACCCGTCACTGCTTTCACAGCCCTATACCCTGAGGATTTCTGCCTTACAGAAGATCATGCACGTCCCCTCATTCCCCTTTCAATGCAGTGCCAAACAAAG